ACGCCAACCACCCGCCCGGCCCCGCGACGACGACGGCGAGGGCGCGTAGTACCACGGGTACGCGCTCTGCTGGTAGTTACTGAGCTTGCGTCTGCTGCTGTTGTCCACTCCCTGCATGCGTCTGCATCTGCTGCGTAGCTTGGGCCTGCTGCTGCTGCTGACTCGGAGAAGCGCTTGTCGACTGTGCACCAGAGCCCGCCGCGCCGTAAACGCCGGGCGCATACATCGCCGCCGCGGCCGCCGCGAGCGAGCTCGAGCCGTACTGCGCCTGTGCCTGCTCGGCTGCGGGGCGTGCGTCTGCCCCACTCCGTTCCCCATCTGCGTCTGCTGCATCTGCTGCTGCCCCTCTCCCTGCCCCACGAACGGCACCGCACGACTGTGCGGCCGCGGCTGCGGCTGCGCCACCATCCCCATCTGCGGCTGCGGCGGCGGAGCGACTCTGCTGCTGTGTATCGTCGTCGTCGTCCCCGGAGGCGGCCCCACCCGCGGCGCCCTCGCCGGCTCCTCCGTGTTCTGCCCCGCAAACCCACGGCTTCGCGAAGAGCGGTTGCGCCGCGATGTACGCGCCCATGCTCACCGGCGGGCCGGAGTCCTGCTTCTGGCCGCCCTCCATGCCCCGACCTGTGTCTGTGGCATCCCCGCGTGCGTCGTCTGCGCTATCCCCGCCGCCTGGTTCGGCGGCGACACGACGCGGACGCGCTGTAGCTCGATCCTGATCCTGATGACGACGCCGACGCAACGGGATGGGAGGCAGACGTGGATGCGACGGGCCCAGAGGCGACCCCATTGCGCGCGCGCTTCGCCGGCGGCGCACCCCGCCCCCCCGCGCCTCCGCGCGTCTCGGGCGTTTCGCGCGCGGGGGGCGCGATGTCGCTGCTAAGTATGGACACGGCGGGCGCGGCGGTGGTAGTGCTATCGGCGCCACTGGTGTCGGTGTCGATGCGGGGGAAGGCCGTCGTGCACGGCGGAACGGTGGGCACGGGCACGGGCGCGTGTTGTGAGCGTGCCGTGCTGTGGGATTGGGCTCGCGAGCGAACGAAGGGCGGAGGAGTAGCGAGAAGGAGAAAGAAGAAAGAATAGGCCGAAAAACAGGAACGGTGCATGAGGAAGGGGGGAGGCACGGCGACTACATACTGAGACGCAAGGAAGGGCAAGGAAGAGGTGGACGCAAGGAAGGAAGACACGAGCAGGGGACGGAAAAGGGGCAAAGACGTGACGAGCATAGCGGCTCTCCATGGCTGCAGAGGCGAGGAACGCGGGGAGAGGGACGGGTGGAATTAATGAGGGAAGGGGAGGAAGGGACGCGGCGATGAGGCCGCAGCAGTAGGAGCTTGTAGTGAAGGAACACGTGGGGGCACGGATGATGGGATAAAGCAGTAGACGATGGCCGCGCAGGGCGTGAGGGAGACATCGATGCAGGAGGGCGGGGGCACGGGAAGGCGGGCGGGCAGGCGCGCAGAGTATGACAAGGAATGAAGACGCCATGAAGGAGCACGCGCCGAGGGACGGGGATGGAGAAGATGAAAATGAAAATGAGCAGCGCGGAGGCGTGGAGAATGAAGGCGACGGGGCAGCGTGCATGGACAGGAAGGTGATCAGGGGGCGGGAGGAGTAAGCGGAGGCGCAGGTGTATGTAGGGAGCGCCACGGAGAGACGTAGGCGGGGCAGGAGGCGGAGGCGGGGCAGGAGGCGGAGCGGATGGCGCGATCAAGCGAGGGCAGTACGAGAAAGGGGACGACGTGAGGAGAAAGCGGAAGCGGAAGGGAACCGCGCGCGAAGAGGTGGGGAGAGTCGGAGAAAGACACGGGGATTGTGGGAATCGTACGCCGGCGCAGCGGGACGGGGTGCACATGCGGAGCGGAGACGCGGACAGGGAGGAAGGGATGTCGGACGGACAAGTGAAAGAAAGAGGGGTCACAGAGAAAGAGAGATCGCAGAGAAGAGAAGGAACGAGAGCGGGATGGAGCGAGTAGCGCGGACTGCAGGAGCGAGTGGGTGGAGTAAAAGAGGCAGTGGATGAAGACGCAGCGATTGAGATATTGAGATGAGCAAAAGGAAGGGACGGGGTGGGTGCACAGGAAGGAACGGAGGATGAGGATGAGGGATGAGGGATGAGGGATACAACAGTCACGCAGAGCGAGGAGGAAGACGCCGATGCAGGAGGGCGGGCGGGCGGACGGGGAGGGGGAGGCACGAAAATGGAATGAAGGCTCGGAATGTACACGAAGAGCATGCGCCGAGGGACAGGGATGGAAAAGATGAGAATGAAAACGAGGAGCGCAGGCGACGGGGCAGTGTGCATGGACAGGGAAATAAATGATCAAGGGGCGGGAGGAAGAGGCGGAGGCAGAGACGGAGGCGGGCAGGAGGGGCAGTACAAAAAAAAGTGGAACGGGGACGACGCAAGCGGACCCGCGCGCGAAGAGGAAGAGTCGGAAAAAGAAGACACGGGGAAAGGGGGGAATCGTACGCCGGCGCAGCGGAGGGACGGGACGGGGTGGTGCACATGCGGAGCGGACGCGGACAGGGAGGAAAGGATGAGAACGAGGACGACGCAGGGGTGTAGGTCGGACGGGTGATAATAAAGAGATGGCCGAGCGACGGAGAAGCGCGCAGAGGAAGGGAGCAAGGCGAGTGGAAGACGCAGCGCCAGAGATGAGCGCACAGGAAGGGGAAGGGACGGAGAGTGAAGACGGCAGCAGCGCAGGACGAGGCAGGGTAGGAAAGGAAAGGAAAGGTGCATGCATGTGCGAATCAAGAAACGAAGGATGTACGAGCGCGTAACGGGGGGCTTGGAGGTGGGGAGAACGAGCTCGGGCACCAAAAGACAAGGGATCGGAGAACAAGGGATACGACGACGGGGGCCATGAAGAATGCGTAGCGGGAGGGGATGAGGGCAATGAATGGTGACAGGCGGAATGGAGGGCGGCAGGAGGAACGAAGGGCGGCAGGAGGAATGGAGAGACGCAGGAGCAATGGGGATGCACGGGGGTCAAGAACAAGCACACGCGCGCGCAGGGGAGGAAGGGGGCGCGCAGGGACGCGGTAGAGGCGTCATCGCGCGCCAGGAAAGGAAGGAAGACGCGTGAAATGAAAAGCGATAAGGAGGCAAGAGAAAAGCGAAAGAAGGAAACGCGACCTACCCGACAGGACCTCGCGCCCCAACGACGGCGCGGCGCCCCCCGCACCCGCGCCCGCGGCCTCCCTCTCCCGTTCCCGCCCATCCTTCTCGCGGCGCAGCGCCTTCCGCCCGCCCCCTCCGCCCACCGCGCGCCCTCCACCTGCACCCGCACCCGCACCCGCGCGCCCCCCCGCGCCGCCCACGCCCAGCCCGAGATCCATCCCCGCCGCGAGCACCTCGTCCGCCTCGCCGCGGTACCGCGGCACGCCGTCCACGCCGACCTCCATCTTCGGCGGGCAGCGGAAGTTCCCGCGGTCCAATAAGGGCGGGGAGATGTCGAGCGACGCGAGCTCGGGGAGGGACGAGGGCGCGCGGAGGCGGCCGGACTCGACGTCGGCGATTTTGTAGTATGAGATGAGGTGCTGCGGGGTGCCGTTAAGGGTTAGGGAGAAGGTCTGCGGGAGGGGTGAGTAAACGAAGAGAAGGGAGAAGAGAAGAGAGGGAGGTAGCGGACCTTCTTCATGAGCCCGTCGGCCTTGAACTTGTAGCTGTTCGTCAGGCTCCCGACGAGCGTGCGCTCCCTTTGCCGATCCACGCCCCCAACTACCTCCGTCCTCGGCCGGCTCAGGCTCTCCCCCCCGCTCCCTCCATTCCCTCCTCCATTCCCTCCCCCCGCGCCCCCACCCGCACCCCCCTCCTCCTCCTCCGTCCCCGCCCTCCTCCGCCCATGCCCCGCCCCCCGCTTATCCGTCTCCCGATACAGCAAAAATTCCCCAATATCCTGCTCGGGCTCCAAAAGCACCCGTCCGTCCACCTCTTAATCCCGCTCTCGTCTTCATCAAACACAAAACGCTGCCGCTCGCGATCATGCGGCGCTCGGCGTCGACGAGGCGGCGCGTGACGCGCGGGATGAGCCCGCGGCGCGCGGCCTCGAGGATGAGGAGCGCGTCGCCCGTCGTCTCGATCCACCCGGACCAGGGCGGCTCCGTCCATGCGGGCGTGCCCGCGCCCGCGCCCGTGGCCGTCCCGGGCATCCGGGCCTGCGGGCTGGTGGGGCTGCGACTGGGTGCCACCGTGGTAAGCGTCAGAGTCCGCGCGGGGCGTCCGCCGGCTGGCTACAGGCTGCTGCTATGGCGAGCATTAGAGTTTGCACCGCCTTCCGAGCCCTCCCATCCCCTTCGTCTCGTACCTTGATCTACGTTTCTCCTTTACTGCTGCGTCGTCTCTTCTGCCTTCCCCGTCGTGTCCTATGCTGCTGGCGTCGAGCTCGCGTCCTGAGGGCCTTGCGCGCGAATCTGATCGCTCACGACCGTGCAAAGTCAAAGTGGGCGTGGCGTGCTTAGTCAGCCCGCCGATCTCTCCGCCCTCCTGATCTTTGCCTATCGGCGCGCACTCCGCGCTATCCCCGCCGCAAGCCCGCGCGAATCTATCCTGTTCCTGGCGCGCTGATACAATATGTCTGTGCTCCTGATACAATATGTCGACGCCCTTGATACAATATACCCATGCTAAGCTTGCTATCAACACTACTTGGCGCCCGGATCTTTATTCTCGCTCATCTATCCTCCTGCGTCGCTCCTTCAACTTTCCACATTCAAACGTTCAATATCATCTGACATTCAGGAGTCTACTTCTCACCCGCTGCTTACCACAGCTCCTCACCAGCGACGTGTTCATCACGACCTAATGGCGAAGCTGGCATCGCGTCCACACTTCTTATTGGATGGGGCCGAAAGTTGCAGTGGAGGTCCCCGGTTCGAACCCGGGTTAGGTCATGAGCATGCCTGCATATTCTTTTTCGTTCCCTCAGGCACTTGACATCTTTGTTCTCCTTTTAAAATTCTAACCCGCGGCTGCGCACCAGCGAAGCGTTCGTCACGACCTAATGGCGAAGCGGGTATCGCGTCCACATTTCCTGATGCATAAGATGGATGCTTTCGGTGGAAGTCCCCGGTTCGAACCCGGGTTAGGTCATGGCAAGAGAGAAGATCTTTTTCTCCCTCAGCTCTTATTATTAATAAGAATAAGCACCAGTATCTCTGTTCTACATCCTTTCTAACCCACAACCCCCCTCCGCATCCTCGTGCCCTCGTCCCAGTCCCAACTCATCTCCGTGTCCAGGTTCACCCTTGTCAATGAATCTCGGTATTTGCTTCACTTGGTCGACGTCCATTCTGCGACATGTGCAAGCCTATGGCACTCAATCTTCTCACCCGGACTGCACAGGAAGACCTAATGGCGAAACGGTATCGCGTCCGCGCTTCATATATAACCATCATCCACGTTCCGCGGAAGTCCCCGGTTCGAACCGGGTTAGGTCGTCTGTTTCTTTCATCTCTGTTTTTTTTTCGGCTCCGTGTTCGCGTTCCAGTTCCAGTTCCTCTCGCAATCCCGAATTCCAAAACACTTTGCATATCGATGCGGAGTCGGAATCAGCGCGCTGATTCTCGTAGGCTGGGCGAGCAGTGTGAGAACTATGCATGGACATTCCTTCCCGGTCCGCGCTGACATGCTACTTCAGCCCGCTCACAAAGGTGCTAGGTAAGGACCTAATGGCGAAACGGTATCGCGTCCGCACTTCATGGAACGCGATTAACCAGGTTCCGCGGAAGTCCCTGGTTCGACTCCAGGTTAGGTCATTACTGTACACAACTTTTTCTATCTTTTTCTTCTAGCTCCGCTCGTCCTCGTTCCTCCGAGAAATACTAATGGAATCGTTCAAATGTCAGAACCACTTTTTCCAAATCTCACAATCGCCTTTCGCAGCAGCCAACGAGCAATCTCGGACTGCGGGTAATATTTTCGTTCCCCTGACCGAATTACTACTCAGCTCTTTTAACACAGGCACAGGGACAAGGACCTAATGGTGAAACGGTATCACGTCCGCAGTTTGTATAATGTGACCAATCAGCTTTAGTGGAAGTCCCTGGTTCGACTCCAGGTTAGGTCATAACTTCATTTTTTTTTTTGATTCCTCTTAGCTCCGCTGGTCCTCGCCCGTGCTGGCAGTCCTTCGCACCTCAATAATAATGGAATCGTTCAAATGTCAGAATCAAGTACGGGCCGCGTGGAAGACTCCGGGTAATATTTCCTTCTCCGCGTCCTTTCTGACCGAAATGCTAGCGCGCTCAGCCCTTTTAACAGAAACACATGAGCAAGGGCCTAATGGCGAAATTAATATCGCGTCTGCAGTTCGTAGAACGCCACTAACCAAGTTGAGCGGGAGTCCCTGGTTCGACTCCAGGTTAGGTCATCGTTCCTGAATTGACAAAATTTCCTTTTCTTTTTCCTTTTCCTTCCTTGTCCGGCTACCCTCACCAAAAGTCCCGGGGACTCAAATCTCATTTCTAACACTCTCCTCCTTCGAACCACGCCTGTTTCCCCAGGACAGACCACAGACACTGACGGGGAGTAAATTTTCCCGTTTCCCTCTGCTCTCCGCGTTGAAGCAACTCACGAAAATCCACTCGACAAGACGAGGGTCAGTTTAGGGAGGTGAAGGACCTAGTGGCGGAAGGTACCGCATCTGCATTCAGTACGCGAGATAATGACAAGTCCCTGCGGAAGGTCCTGGTTCGAATCCAGGCTAGGTCGTCGGTGCAGACTTTTTCTTCTATTTCTCTCGTGCTCGAACAAGCTCCCAGTCCTAGCCCCACGCTTCTTTCGTCAAGCTTGCTCCATATACGACTCGCTATTGCTGCACATATGACTCGCTATTGCTCACACAAAACAGCGATACATGGAGGTGAGCGAGATGTTCGTTTCCCTCTGGTAACTCCTCCACAGAAACCAAGCGTTCATTGGGTAGGTATACGACCTAGTCGTGGAGGGTACCACGTCCGCGAGCTTTAGTGCGGGTGGTTAAATAATAGGCGCAGAAGGCCCTGGTTCGAATCCAGGCTAGGTCATGAAACATTTTTTTCTATTCACTGTTCCATACAGGCCATCGCCTCGCTCTCCTGTCGACATCACTTCAGGCTACGAAGCCATCATATTTCGGTTGACTCCCGGGTTCTGATGTGTAGCATAGCGCGAGGTTCCCTTTGGGAAGATAAGACCTGATGGCGAAACGTATCGCGTCCGCACTCTGTTGCGGTAGAACCTGGTGGATGCATACGGAAGTCCCTGATTCGACTCCAGGTGAGGTCATACGGAGGTTGACTGAGGATATTTCTCATTTTTCATCTCTCTCTTCGTCCTCGGAACAAGCTTCTATCGCTGTACTTACAACTCATAGAATGTCATCGCACGAGACGTGGGTTAATCCCAAGTTAATCCGGTGGGGATGAGACCCAGTGGCGGAAGGTATCGGCGATCTCCGCCGATTCTCCGCAAAATTTGAGTGCTGGCGAAAAAAATCTCCGCGGAAGGTCCTGGTTCGAACCAAAGCTTCTATTGCTGTACTTAGAATGTCATCGCACGAGACGAGGTTAATCCGGTGCTAGTGGCTGAAGATATCGCTCCGGCGAAATTTGGGTCCTAGCAAAAGAAAATTCGCAGAAGGGTCTGGTTCGAATCAAGGCTAGCTCGTAAACTTGTGATTGTTCTCGAACGCTAGTAGGCCACTGTCGGGTTAAACAGCTTAGAACGTGGCTGTGTCTATTGTTTGTCCGCCAGTCCTCTGGCCGGATCATCTTGGAAATACATTTTATTCGACGAGAAAGTGGGTATAAGTACTAGAGCTCCGTGCTACCAAAGTGCCAATTCTAATTATCTACCATGCGGGCCGCGGGATTCCATCCCCCATTAATTCAAGGTTCATCCAAACCTTTTGTATGCCGCGAAGATGGCGCTCAATCGCAGTGAGAGAAGACTCGAATGGGAGGAGATAAGATGGAAGTCCTTTGGATAGAAGAACCGCATGAGCGACGTGGTCCGGTCTCTCCACTTCGACGAAAATTCAGCACAATCAACACAAGACAAAATAACAAAAAAAAAACGAACTTCGTAGCTTGTCCGCAGGAGTTGATCCAGCAAACCAGAAGAGGAGGTAAATCCAGCGCGCCCACTTGGCGAACTCCTGCGAGAGCTTTTCATAGCTCTTCGCGATGCTACCGAAGCCCTTCGTTAACGGTAACAATACCTTGCGACCACTCGTTGGGTTACTTGTTGAGTTTTGAAGATGAGTCTGGGCCGATAATTGGGTATGTGCTATCGTGGTGCAGTCCTTGGTCAAGTCGGAGGCACGCCGGACAAGCTGAGTGCCGGCCTTGAGGATCTTGGGAGAGCCGGAGTACTGCTGGGCGGCGCCGTGGACCGTCTCAAGCCCAGTCTGAATTTTCTGCGCCTGAAAAGCGTTAAATGACAGCGAGGATCCAGAGTGTGATACCTTACCACGGACTCCGTCCTACTCCCGTCGGGCGGGTCTTTAATATTCTGTCCTGTGGGCGTGTACGGTGCAGAGTTGAGCTTTCGATCCACCCCCTCCCAAAACTCCTTGGAATCCTTCAATCGCTGGCCGATAATCACAAAGCCTTTGTCGATCTTCTCGAGGTCGTCGTAGATCTGCTGGCTCTCCGCAGCGGAGCTAACACCTTCGCGAAAGCCAGCCTTTCGCGCTGCAACGAACAATGAAAACACGAAAACCTAAATCCGCGTTGGATACTCACCTATTTTTGCATTTTCCTGCATAATCGAAGCGAGATCTTGCCTTCCACCTTCGGCATACATCTTACTTACACGGTCGAACTTCTCCATTTCATGCGCGGCCTTTTCCAGCTTTCCTTTCACCAATTGGCGCAACTCCCGTATTTTTCCTCCGGTATCTTGGCCAGTGAGCGCCAATGCGCAGAACTCCAAGTATAATCGCGTGAAATCGTCTACACCCTCAAGAAGGTCGAGATCCATTGCAGGAGACCTTTTCAAGCTCTCGAGCAGGTTTACCACCCTATCCCTCAGAGTTGGGGAGGAGCGGCCCGTCCGCAATAAATACTCGAGTTTTTTGCAAGAGGTTTTGAGGTCCTTCACTTCCTGAGCGAAATCTATACCGTGCTTAGCACAGCTGTGACAGACAGAGTAGCGAAATGAAAACCTCGAGCTTAGAAATTTGACGCACATGAGCCCGACTGGAAGTGGAATACAAACGTAGGGACGCACGATTCACAACCCGATCCGGATCAAAGTTTGGACCCAACCGTTTAAGGTCCGCGAGCATCCTCTGTATACCCTCCATTCCGCTGGAACATTTCCTTCTCCTCGAGTGTGGGGTATAAACGAAGCCTGGTTCGATCCAGGGGACTGGAAAGAACCCAATGAGCTGGATGGCATGTTTTATTTAGAACGATGTACCTTCATACGCATCGAAGACCCGTCTCAATCTTGTTATAGTCTCAGGGGCTTCAATATGTATACTGTGGTAGAGGGCACAATGATCTCCGGCTAAAAAAAGTTGGACCCAGTTAGAACTCGAACATGTGCGTGCCGGAGCGAGTGAATGGGTAGGATACCTTCAAAGCCCTTGTATATGGTTGGGAGGAGCTCTAGCAGTGGTTTACGATATCCGGCTGGTAATCTTTTAGCCACCGACCCGTCGTAAGGATCGTATGAGCCTTCGACCGCTTGTGGTCCAGGCAGAGGAACGAGCTGGAACTCTGGCACTGTATTGGTTTGCTCCGGCAATGGCTCGGAGTCCGACAAGCCATCCAGATGGAAGAGGTAAGAAAGAAAATCGGACACTGTCCTTAATTGCCGAGCCGCAAGATCCTCCGGAGAGTACACTTGGCCTACTAACTGGCCCATCCACTGAAGATTCATGGTGGGTGAAGGAAGGCTGTGGTCGCCGGATTGGTCGGAGTGCTGGAAGGACCGGTTTCACTTTATAGGCCCTCCGCAGTCCACAGCTTCAGCGCCGCGCACCGCTTGACTGCTGTAGGCTCTTCTCTTCGCACTTTCTGCGCCGCACCAAAACCGCATGCCACAGCCCCCCGAAAGTCAGGTGTACCGCGTTGCACAGCAATGAAATTTATCAGTTACGGCTCCCCGGTCAACTTCTACTCGCCAATTCCTGGTCATAAACCAGTGTTACTCCTGCCAAATCAGCCTCGGCGCCAATATAGCTGGCACGCAAAACTATAGGAGGGGATCGGTCAAACTGTCAGACGACCTTTCTTAACAGCAACAGCCTGACTTCTCTTCTCGTTGTTGATCGTACGCTACTGTAATGATTACATGTGACATCTGAGAACAGCGCTCGCTTGCCTCGCGGCTGCAAGCCCAGGCGACCAATTTCTAGCTGAATAACAACAACACGAAAACCCAGATCGCCGTACTTTTCGTTAACTTACTGGGCAGCACGAGGCTCAGACAGGCAAGGAGCCAAGGGAGACCAAGAGGCAGCGTAGATGCGGGGACGGGCGTCGGCTGCGAGGCAAATATAGAGGATGGGAACGAAGGTGCACAGCCGTCGATGGGGAATGGAAAAGATATGATAGAGGATGAACGATCTATTTTTCACAGTGTACAGGCGCTACTTGAATCCGATGGCGGCATAAGCGCGAGGCAGGGGGTGGAACGATGCGCTCGGGCGTAGGGGAAGCGAACATGCGCTCGGGGCGGCTGGCATGGGCCAGAGATATACGCAGGATTGAAACGAAAAAGTGTGAGGAGGCGATGGGGCAGAGTGGGCGGAGGTGGCACACAAGAAGAGCAGGAATTTTCGACCAGAGGATGGCAGTGTAAGGAAGCGAAGGTGGAGGAGAACAGATGATCGGCGGAAAACTAGTGCGATCTTGAGCAAGGAGAATGTGAAACGCATGCGCATGGCAAAAGAGCGAGTGGGAGACGAAGGCAACGGGAGCTGCACCATGCACACGCGAGAGCGAAAGACTGGATGATCCTGGGGTGACGGACGCGGGTCGAACCGAGACGAGCGCTCCAAAGTGTGCGCCAGGCAACGGAAGACGCAAGGAGATTGAGATGCAACAGACGAGCGGGGTAATGGAGTGAGAGGAAGGTGCGTGGAGAAGGACCTCAGAAAGGTCAACCGAAACGATAGCGATGAGCTCACCTTCTCCGTCCGTGAGGGACTCAAACTCTCCCCCACGTTCCTCATCTCGATCACGCCGGCGTTGTCTTCCGATACAAGCACGTTCCCGCTGACGAGCATGCGTCGACGAGGCGGAGCGTGACCCGAAGCGGAGGATGAGGAGCGCGCCGGTGGTCTACCAGGGCGGCTCCGTCGAGCGTGCCAGCGCCAGTGCCCGTGCCGGACATCCGGGCCTGCGGGCTGGGGGGGCTGCGGCTGGGTTCCACAGTGGTAAGAGTCTCCGGTTGACTACAGGCTGCTGCTATGGCGAGCATTAGATTACAGTTTGCACCGCGCGCCTCTCCTCTTCCCTTTCGTCTCTCACCTTGATGTCGTTTCTTCTTTAATGTTGCTCGTCGTCTCTTCCGTCTTCCCTGTCGTCTCCTATGCTGCTGGCCGTCGAGCTGGCGGTCGCCTCGGGTCTCGACGTTGAATCTGAGGGCTGATGACCAAACTGATGACGGTGCGAAGTGGGCGTGCTTAGTCAGCCCGCCGATCTCCGAGTCTCTGCCGCCCTCTTTCCTGGTCCGTATCTGCTGCCAGTGGTCTCGCAGCGCACTCCCTGCTTTCCCCGCCGCAACTCCGCAACTCTATCCTTTTGCTGGCTGCGTTGTCTCCTGCCATGGTGCTAAGCTTGCTATCTACACTACTTAGCGCCCAGCAAGCGCCCGGATCTTCTCGCTCATCTATCCTCCTCCGTCTCTCTTTCGACTTTAGCATCGAATTCAATCTCATCTCTGCGTCCCTTACACGCTACCTTCACTCAGGAGAACCACGCCACTTCTCACCTGTTGCTTAACGCGGTCCTTCCCTCACCAGCGACGTGTTCATAACGACCTAATGGCGAAGCTGGTATCGCGTCCATATTTCTTGGTAGATAGTTCAACCATTTTCGGTGGAAGTCCCCGGTTCTAACCCGGGTTAGGTCCTGTGATAAAGGCGAAGGATTTTTTTTCTCCCTCACTGTCAGCATCTTAATAAGAATAAGCATCAATATCTTTGTTCTACTTTTAAAATTCTAACCCGCAACCGCCCTCCACATCCTCGTACCACCACGAGCAGCCTCGTCATCCGCCAGCTGTCCGTGTACAGGTTCACCTTGTCAATGAATCTCGGTATTTGCTTCACTTGGTCGACGTCCATTCTGCGCGAAATCCTCCTCAAATCGACATGTGCAAGCCCTATGGCACTCAATGTTCTCACCCGGACCCCACAGGGCGACCTAATGGCGAAACGGTATCGCGTCCGCACTTCACCATTCTGTTATCGACTTTGCTGCGGAAGTCCCTGGTTCAACTCCAGGGTAGGTCATCTGTTTCTTGCATCTTTTTTTTCGGCTCCGTGTTCCCGTTCCAGTTCCAGTTCCTCTCGGAATCCTGGAATTCCAAAACACTTTGCATATCGATGCGGAGTCGGAATCAGCGCGCCGACTTTCGTAGGCTGGGCGAGCAGTGTGAGAATCACCGCTAGGCCATGCATGGACATTCCTTCCCGGTCCGCGCTGGTACGCCGCATCGCAAGTAATATTTTGTCCGTGGTCCATTCACGGCGCTGCTAACTGACATGTCTATGTACTTGGGCCCGCTCACAAAGGCACTGGTCAAGGACCTAATGGCGAAGCGGTATCGCGTCCGTACTGTATTTCTTGGATTGAGCTGATTTTATGGTGGAAGTTCCTGGTTCGACTCCAGGCTAGGTCATGATTCTTCTGATGGGCACTTTTTCTTTGTGGTTTCTTCAGCTCCGCTGGGCCTCGCTCGGTCATCCTTGTTGTCTGTCCTCCGCACCTTAATAATAATAGAATCGTTCAAATGTCACTTTTTCCGGCGGTCAACTCCGAGCAATCTCAGGCCTAGCAATTTCTCTTGCTTGAAGATCGGTATCATTCTGCCTCGACATGCTGCCCAGCCTTGAAGCAGAAAGACATGGCCTTACGCAAGGACCTAATGGCAAAACGGTATTGCGTCCGTGCTTCATAAGATAGCAGTGAGTGTCTCGCGGAAGTCCCCGGTTCGAGCCCGGGTTAGGTCATATGGCTCGCGATGTACAGCTGTTTCATGTTTCATTTTTCATTTTTCTTCTAGCTCCGCTCGGCCTCGCTCGCTCCGAGAAATAATAATGGAATCGTTCAAATGTCAGAGCCTTTTTCTAAATCTCAGAATCACCTTTCGCAGCCAACGAGCAATCTCGGACTGCGGGTAATATTTTCGTTCTCCGCGTCCTCTCTGACCGAAATGGTACTCAGCCTTGAAACGGTAACACAGGGGAAGACCTAATGGTGAAACAGTATCGCGTCCACACTTCGTATGGCTATAAATTATATATTTCGGCGGAAGTTCCTGCCAGGTTCGATTCCAGGTGAGGTCATGTATCTTGATTTCAATTCCTTTTTTTCCACTAATGTTACCGGTTCTGTTCGTCTCACTCATTCCAATGTCTGAAACACTTTTTTCCGACCCCTGATCTGCAGTCCAAAACCGCATGGCATACACAGTACTATTTTTTGTCCTCAGACTTTCTGTGCCGATCACTTCAATTCTCCGCCTCCTCTGACCGAATGCTACTCATTGACAACCTTGTAACATGGATACAGGAGAAGACCCAGCGGCGAAATTGGTATCGCGTCCACACTTCATAGGTGATGGAGGTCCCTGGTTCGACTCCAGGTTAGGTCATAACTGGTCTGGCAAACATTTTTCTTTTTGGTTCCTCTTAGCTCCCCTGGTCCTCACCCGTGCTGGCAGTCCTTCGCACCTCAATAATAATGGATTCGTTCAAATGTGAGAACCAAGTACGGGCCGCGTGGAAGACTCCGGGTAATATTTTCCTTCTCCGCGTCCTCTCTGACCGAAGTGCTACTCAAGCTAGTAACGTGGACACATGAAACGGTATCGCGTCCGCATTCCTTATTCGTGAAGGAAATCAGTTTCGGCGGAAGTTTCTGGTTCGACTCCAGGTTAGGTCATGGGTCTTGATTTTCTTTTTCTTTTTCCTTCTTTATCCGACTCCCATCACCAAAATTCCCGGGGACTCAAATCTCATCTCTAACACTCTCCTCCTTCGAACCATGCCTATGGAAAGCCAGAGCACCACGCTCATTTGATGACCGATGATGACCCCATCGGGCAGTGGGACTGATGGCACCGTAAGTACGTCTCGGGCATATTATGTCTCTGATGCAACTATCTCCATAAGCCACAACCTAACCGCCGGTTACTGCCCTACTGTGCACATGTACGAAGCGAGCTAATTACGCTGAAGTTGGCCAATGAACAATGAACAACGGCATGCAAATTTCAAGGCACGCGGAATCGGTCCTGGCCCTTGGCCCAGTGTGACATGTGTCGACCGAACGCTACCAAAGGACATCGATGTTGTCAAGAGCTCTCTAGGACAATATTCCATGGATTCAACTCTTCCCTCTAAGACCTTGCAGAGCACAGTGTCCACAGTGAGATATACTTATCGAGTGAAAGGCACCCTTTGGTTCAAGTTGAATCGATGAATCGAAGTTTAACCGTCCCGCGTTCAGTGCACTTTATGGACCAAATTAATGAGAAAAGTATAGTGTTTTATAGAGGGCATACCATCGAGAGACATAATAGGTGTGTACTTATTTAAATTCTATGTTGTGCCCAGCAACAGCCTCCAGTGCCGGAAGTTGAAACCAGGAGCAGAATTTGAACATGCTGCTTCGTAAAGGCATTGAAAGTGGCAGGTACACCAAATATTCTAGCTCCCTCTCCAATTGGGTTAAAGCACAGTTTCGGGGACTCCGGAGGGTAATAGTGGGGGTTGAAACCTACGAGGCAGCCATTATTGGGGCTCGGTCAACACCTTCGAGGCAGAAGTCAGCCCGAAAATTCGGCGCTCAAATGAAATGCGGACCTCGAACACCAGAGATATAAACCATTCCACCGGTCTTAGACTTGTAGATGGGTAAATGATCGACCAGCGCGGACAAGGAATTGTTAGCAGTAAGAACTGGGACTGCACTTCTGTTATTATTGAACTTGGGAAAGCCGTCCCGCTTCCTCGATGAGGCAGACATATATCCTATTCGCCACATTTCCAGTTGCCTCATGGACACCTGTGACCCTTGCATGAACACCGTGATCCGGGTTGTCAAATAAAGTGTTGTTTACAGAGTTGTCGATGCAACGATGAGCGAAGGGCAACATGCCTTTATTCTGCTCCGGCAGTGAAGCATCCGCCTGGAGCGTGACAATGAGCGGAGTGACTTATTCAGCAAGTAAATGTTTATTTCACACTATAAAAAAGGTGTCCTACATAGTCCGAAGTTAGATCGATGGGAAAACACACAATTAAGATATTCGTGAGCTGCACGGCTCAGTGCGAAGATTTAACAACGGTTCTATGGATACAGCAGAGTCAGAGTTGCATCCAACCAGGGAATTCATGTAATATCGGTGAACGACGGGCGGAATAGATCCAGCAACATGCCAAGAAGAAGGTCCAAGGAGCTGGATATGTCTTACTTGCGATGACAGGTCCACAATGAATGGGTGCATTCGAGCATCCACAGTTAATAAGAAGAACTTGTCCCAGAAATGACAGGTGGCCTAGAGACAGCGATAGCGGAGGGAAAGAGACAAAGAAAAAAATGGAAGGAATATGGGACGATCATGCGATCTTTTAAGTAGCCTGGGGATGTTTCCCCGCGTCCCAAGGAATTTTACTCTTTGCGTCTCGGAATTTGCGCGAAAGCAGTAGTTACCATGTCATGTGACCGTGTTGCCGATGATCCGAGTGAGGGAGGTCCATCTAAGTCCGACACTGAGGCGAAATTACAAGAGAGCCTCGGCAATTTAAATGTGCTTCGTCGAGCAGGAGATATAGATTGAAAAGGCACGATTGCATCCGAGACGTAGGGTGCCATCAGTCCCTTTGCCTGATGGGGCCATCACCGGTCATCAAACGAGCGTGGTGCTCTGGCTTTCCAGAGTATATACGAGAATCGAAAACGAAAACATATATATATATATCGCCGGGCGATGGCCGCTGATGGCCTTGGGTAACACCTCGGCTAATATAGCCGGTCACTCCGCCTATGAAATCACGAGAAACGAAAACCGAGACCTGGACGGCAGAGCGTGGGACCAGGGTGAAAAGATAGCTACAGAGAGTTGTTGGTGAATCTGGGAGCCTGCGCACGACCTTCCTTCCCATTGGAGTCGTGTTATGTGGCCATGTTTGTACGAAGCGTGACCAATTGCTAAATTGGGAGGACGTGTCGCCCCCCGAGGCGTAGAACACGATTCCGAGAGAATCCCTCGATTAGCTGTGGACTCTGGACAATGAATGACTTCTGTACCTAGGGCTGCATGTCCACAAATTAGAATGTTGACGTGGTCTAAAGTGCACCTGAGAGATGGAGCTCAAATATCTGTCCCTCTGCTCTGCAGGCAAAAACTTGCATACAAAATAAGGTCACACTTTTGAATGATTGCTGAACCGTTGCAAGGCAATTAGAGAATGGAAGAGGCCCGGAAACATTAGTGGAATAGCTTCTGTAAATCAAAAGATATCAGAACAGTTGGCTGTGGTTCCTGTCTATTACACGGACGCGGCTCCCCATATTTTGCACGCTTAATTAAATGGTTAAGGCTATGGAAGCGACTGCATTCATACGGAAACTGATGACATGAGTGAAATTTAAAGCTAAATTATGAATGTGTGTATAATAGACTACCAGTAAATTATTAGATCATAAGACTGAGTGAGTCGTAGAGGAAGAGTAGGCATTTAAGGAGTGTACGGGTCAGATGCAAGGACCTCATCATCACCATTGACTGGATAGACAGGGCGGCCTTGAATTTGTTTGAAAACAGTGTCTATAAATTCAGACTCGAGAGCCAATGCGTAGTCAAAATCAGACCGAGGGGATCCATTGACCGGAATCCAGGAAACAAATTAAGCTCGGAGAGTGGCCAATTAAGCGACAGGATTACGCGTACAGAGTTAGCCGCGAGAAATGAAAATAATGCTGATCTCGGAGACTTATTTATTAATTCTGCGGAAAGTTCAGAGGAGTGTGGCATAAATAACATAGTGCTGGGCGAGTCCGGTTCGAAAATCGGTTCGAACTTGAACCGGACCGGACTGAACGTGAGGTTCAGGTTCAAGGTTCAGGCATTGCCCGTACCTGAACCGAACGGCACGTTCAGCGTTCGTGCCGTCAGGGTGCGTTCGAACCCCGAACCGAACCTTGAACCTGAAAATTAGAAAAAACCGTGATTTTGTGAGTTTCTGGGTCCGAATTCCATGGAGTCGAATCCCTATTAACCTTTACTTATAATGCGAGAACCATTTGTCTATGCCCTGGTAAACATTCCGACCTCATTTGGGTGTGAGAGCGGTGAGTCACAGCATGTCATGCATGACCACACCGTCCCGCACACTCCGCCCACCTTAAAACATGTCTGTAGTTGGTCATAGGAGCTCTTGTATGCAGTGGTGCAATAACTTATCATATTCCCGTAGAATTGGTACGATTTTTTAGGTTCCGACTCGAGTTTTTGGCCCGAAAAATCCAGCCATTTTAAACAGGTTCGGCGTTCGGGGAAAAGGGCCCCGAACCTGAACCGAACCGAACCTGCCCAGCACTAAAATAACACCATTTATTGGTGAGCACAGTATGCAAAAATAGCTACTAAAAGGAATGATAGCTGGTAGACCCTGCGTGCGAGGGGGAACGTGATACTGGCAGCGATGGCGCGGGACTAGCGGCTATGGTGGGACACAAGCGGGACACCGCCCTCGGAGGTAAATCCCTGTGACTGATCGGAGTTGATTGCTGGGCATGCCGTGAGATCCGGCCGTGCCTTGCCGAGTTTCGTTTTCGCTTTTCGTTAGTACCGGGCTTTCCATACATGCCTGTTTTTCCCAGGACAGACCACAGACACTGACCATCGGACGAAGGGGAGTGAATTTTCCTGTTTCTCTCTGCTCTCCGTGTTGAAGCAACTCACAAAAAATCACCTAAGTCCCGTCGTTTTGGCGGCAATTGTAAATTGGACTCTCATCTCACCTTGCACTTCCTCCTCGGTAGCAAGGTTGCTTATTACCCAGCACAGAACGATGCGACGGATGGAAGTGAGTGAAATATCACTTTTTCTTCCGCTCTGCTGCTGCTGATTGAAGGAACTGGGAGAGGAAAACCACAGAAAGCGAGGCCGAGTTCGGTGGAAATTAGATCTAATGGTGAAAGGTGCCGCGTCCGTATGCAGTGTTGTGGGATACATAATTTCCCTGCGGAAGGTACTGGTTCAAGCCCAGGCTAGGTCCTTGTGAAGTCATGCTGGCATCTCTTTCAGCATCTTTTCTATTCCATACAGCGATACAAGCTATCTCGAATCCTGTCGATATCATCTCACATCGTCAGTGAAGCCCTTTTCTTTTTTTGGCTCCCGCATTCCGATGTGTAGCATAGCGCGAGGTTCACTTTGGGAAGAATAAGACCTAGTGGCGGAAGGTATCGCATCCGCACTCTGTTGCTTGCCAGAATCTGTCGTGTGGGGAAGTCCCTGGTTCGACTCCAGGCTAGGTCATACGGAGGTTGACTGAGGATTTTTTTCCTTTTCTCCTTCGTTTCCTTGTCCAGATGCCCGGCCTATTTCTAACTTGAACTTGAAATCCCCTTGTACATTTATTT